ACCCGCTAACTCGATATTGTCCCGCGGTGGAATTCGCTAACTCTGGAAGTCGCTAACCCGGTCATGCCCACTGCACGGAGCGTTGCCAACCTTGTACGACAAAATGATTGTACACTGCCGTATTTCAAAATGTCAGTGTCAGATACAGTAAATGTTATTGTTATTTGTTATCAATTTCACTTTTAACAGCTACCTAGCCCAAAGTAATTAAAAAATCATTAAAAGTGATTTTTTATTTAACTGTACAACGGCCAATTAAATGTTTATGATTTCGATCTTAAATACAAATGCCAGTATGAAATAATTGTTCATCCAGTAGTACCAATTAAACCTCTATGAAACTAAGCTAAAATACACGCAAGCTCAAACACGGAAAACAAATTTCATAGTGATGTCGTAATAAATAAAACCACTTTCATAAATAATACATAGATTTACAATTAAAGGTTTGTCGTTGAATCGTCTAACTTACGTGTAAAAATATGACATAGGCTACGTTTCATTACAATTTATAGAATAGCTGTAATCTCAAAATAGTTTTAGCACAGGGTATGATGAAGTTCCTGGACCAATAATTAAAAAAGCAAAAGAAGTATTGATTAAACCCATTACATTTTTGATCAATTCATCATTGATAACTGGAATTTTTCCACAAATATTAAAAATGACAAAAATTAAACCACTTTAAAAAAAAGGGAAGTCATCAGAAGTGGATAATTTTAGACCAATTGCCCTAATTACTATATTTTAAAAAACACAGAGGATACGCGTCCGGTAACCAGACGTGGATTAGGCGTCCGGTAACCAGACGTGGATTAGGCGTCCGGTAGGGGGTCCCGGAACGCCATTACCACAATGATACTATGTTCAACCATCAGTGTTCGTGGTGTAGTGGATAGAGTGCTCGACTGATATGCGAGTGGTCCCCGGTTCGAAACCCATCGGTGACTTTAACTTTTTGTCACAGATTTTGCTTTGAATGTAATTTCTTCTTAACTGTACATCTTTTGTTAGAATTTTTGGCATTTATAATTTTATGTTATGAAGAGAATTGAACCTTCATTTGATTTTTTTCACTATCAGCAAGTTTGGTTGGTTAGGTTAGGTTATGACAGTAACTGCCGGACGCCTAATCCACGTCCGGTTACCGGACGCGTATCCTCTGCGTTTAAAAAAATTTTGAAAGAGTTGTTGCGAACCAGCTGATTGAGTACCTTGAAACTAACAAGTTGTTTGATTGTTGCCAGGATGGTTATCGTAAAGGAAGGTCAGTGGTAACTGCAGCAACAGAGTTTATTGAATCTGTGATCGACTCAGTTGATAAAGGCAAGAAAGTTGTAGGCATATTTATGGACTTGAGTAAAGCCTTTGATAGCATTAACCCATTGGGGAAGGAATTAATGCGCTACCTGCAGCACCCTCTGGCGGCAATTAATTTTACCGAATTTGTAGACTTTTACTCTAACTGTTATAGAAAAAAAACCTTAGGTAATAAATTAATTATTCTTTCACCATTTTGTTCACAGTAAAATTGTCTACAGAAAAGTGGTAATTGGATAGTCAAAGTTCTAAACTAAAAAATATATATATATATATAGATTATAAAAATAAAAATTTTAAAAACAATATTTTGAAAGTAAACTTGTTATACAAATTCTAAGATTAATCCAGACACCAAATAACACTACTATTATAAAGATCAATCGATTCCCTACGTAGAAAAATCAAAAGTTGTGTACTTTTATAAGTAATAACATTTTTTTTTAATGTTTGTTTACCTTACCGCAGCTGATTTTTGGTGATATGTGGTTTCCATGGCAACACAAAATTGTTTGTTATTCGCTAAAATAAATGAGTAAAAACGCAAATCAAGAAGCAAGATATGTATCAACATTATATTAGTAAGAAGAAACAAAAAGGGCGAAAAATAATAATAACTAAATAACTAATGGCGCTGCCTAGCGGTGACACGAGCGGCACTCGTAAGACGGCCGCCGGGCCTGCAGCGGCCGTACGAGTAACGCTCGTAAGTCGGCGCCAATGGGTTAATCATGGGACTTTATTACATAAATTGAAATTGTTTGGGATTGAATATTTGAGAAAGAATATAATTGGCTTAGTAGCCTACATATTTATGTAACCGACAACAGTTTGTAGAAATTTTAAATTTAAAAAACAATAGATTGCTCAAATACAAATCCACTCTTAAACAGGTAATATGAGGTGTTCCTCAAGGGTCCATATTGGGACCTTTGTTATTCACATGCTACATAAAAGACATGCCAAAATTACATAATAATTATAGCTTATGTCTTTATGCTGATGACGCTAATCTTCAAATAAATGGACACTCTATTGAGGAGGTTGAGTTGTCATCATTTTCAAACCTGGCTCTTTTAGATCAGTTTTTTTCCAAAATAATAGTTTAGTACTTAACTCTGCTAAAACAAATTTCATTGGATTCAAAACTTATCAAAATAATAAAAATATGCTGTCACCTACCATCATTCTAAATGAAACTGAATTGAGAAGGTGTATGATTAAGGATGATTTTAGGATTAACTATAGACAGCAACTTGTCTTGGAACAGCCATGTCAATAATCTAGTTTCTAAATTAAACTCTGTGGTATTTGCACTAATGAGGCTCTCAAAGATTTGTTCAACAGAGACTCTGAAAATAGTGTATTTCGCCTATATTCATTCAAATATCGCCTTTGGTCTTTCATTATTTGGGGCAACTTCCATTCAAAATTTGAACAAAATGCTAAAAATTCAGGAACAATCTATTCAGGTTATATTAAAATTAAATTATAATGAATCGGTAAAACTCTTTTTTTCTAAAATTGGTATCATGACTGTATATGCAATGTACATTTATGAAACTACTACTGTAGCCCGCGGGCTTTGCCCCGTTTAACTTCTTAATTTTCAATATTATCTCGTTCGCATGGCTCAATCACGTCCTGGTTGAAGTTTGTTCGCTACGCTCACTCACCTTTAGGTTGGAGCTCGTTCGCTGCGCTCACTTGCCTTCAGGTTAGCTCGTTCGCTACACTAACTCGCCTCCAGGTTGAAGTTCGTTCGCTACGCTCACTCACCCTTTGGTTGCAAATTAGCTGTTGTCATAAATGTAAAAGAAATAATAGTGCTGCACCCTGTTGGTAATCCTTGTAACTTTAATGCTATTGAAAATCATAGAACAGAACCAACTTGTTTAATTGAAACAGCTGTTAAGATTCAATAATTCCATTTCTCATAAGTTTAACATGGGAAACTCCAGAGCCACTGGGGCGGAGCCTGAAAGGATTTTTGAAATAAGAATATGCCTATATGTTAATCGGGAATGTGAGCTATCATCATGCCAAATTTCAGCCCAATCCGACCAGTATTTTTCGCGTTCACTTGTCACAAACATCCAAACTTTCTCATTTATAATATTAGTAGGATAATTTCTGTGAAAAACCATCAGGACCAACTTCATTTTGTTGGAGATACTCATAATTATAATACAAGATTCAGGAATAGAATTGGCATTGACAAACATATACTTGGATTTTATGAAAAAAGCCAATGTATATGGGGTCAAAATTTTATAATATGTTTTCAAAAGCCATAAAATCTGAGAAAAATATTAATAAATTCAAAAATCAACTAAAAAAATATCTTATTGATTTAACATTATATTCTTTCTCCGAATTCCCATTAAAAATGATGTGTAAAGAAAGTTTTTAGTTTCTGTTTTCTTTTAATGCATATAACTATATCTTTTGTTTTGACAGCCTTAGTATTAATCAATCTTAGTTATAATGTATCTTAGTATTAATTAATATTGACACCATTCTATGTACAGAGTACTAATATTGAATAACTAATATTGAATAAATTATTAAGGAAATTGACAGGAAAGCAGGCTTACCTTTAAATAAGTCCATAGAGACACATAAAACATCACAAAATTAAAAGTAGAAATTTTCGTGGTCACTGACCACTTTTTCAACCACTGGAGATTGGAGAAAGAAACACTAGATGTTTTCTCCAATCTCCAGTGGTTGAAAAAGTGGTCAGTGACCACGAAAATTTCTACTTTTAATTTTGTGATGTTTTATGTGTCTCTATGGACTTATTTAAAGGTAAGCCTGCTTTCCTGTCAATTTCCTTAATAATTCCTGGCAAATGCCCTATCTTTTTATAAGATAATATTGAACAAAGATTTTTTTGATTGATTGACACGATCAGTGTCACCGGACGTGAACGAGACACGAAAAACCAGCTTCAAAATTTACAATGGGATGTAATGTTTACTTGTGTTGGTTAGTCTATGGTAAGACTATAATGCATTTTCCACCCTAATAGTAGTCATAAGAATAATATTAAACATACTTCTGAATATATATGTATTTTATCGACTAAAATGCTCTTACTCCTAATTATTTGTAATCGTAGGATACAATATTATGGTACCAATACCGATGGTAGGTACTACACTTTCGGCAACACTGGCCAACAATCTTCGTGCTTAGCTCCTATTGGATGGCGCGCGGGGCTTTTGATTGGGAGTTAGCGAGTTCCGCCGAGGGTCCGAGTTAGCGACTTCCGTACGAGGACAGGTTCCGGAGTTAGCCAATTCCAAAACTGAACAAGTTAGCGAGTAACTCTCATCGACCAAATTTGAATTAACATGGGGTTAGCGAGTTCCAGAGTTAGCCAATTCCGCGGACCCGTTAATATTAATATTTACTTTTGAAAACCTCATCTCAAGACTTTGGACATCCTAGGAGCGTAGCCCAAGAGGAACTCACAGAAGAGAATAGACCTAGGACATTTCTAGATATGTGGACCATCTTTGTGCTCAATTTTGGCTGTACCGGTTTAGTATTATAGTCGTGACAGCTGCCCAGACAGACAGACACCACCTCAATTTTATAATAGAATATATAGATATTACTTTGAGAGGTGCGTACGGACTGGCATAGTTAGTTAGTAGTCAATAAATAACGAGTCAAAATAATGGTTTTTATTAATTCACAGAAATTTTGAATAACAATCATTGAACCAGCAAATAGCATTTAACAATTATTCTTGTATGTTCAAAAGTTGTTCACAGAAATGCACATGTAACTAAGTAACTAAGTCCATTTACAGATAATGGCTACTTATTCTGAAGACAACATTGAAAATGAATAACTTAAAATCAATTTCTTAAAGCCCAATTTTTCATATAAAATAATAACAAAACTTAACATGCAAGTTTTAGTCAAGTGTTTACCATGGAGTAACTAAAAGAAATGCAAGAACTTTCAACCTGTAGCAATACAAACAAATATTAATAAAAAATATTGCAATTAAACCTCAAAATATATAAACAATTTACAATTGGCATAGACAAATTTATAGCATTATACAAACATATTTACACGGATAGAATACATACATGCTTTACTTCCAAGAACAATGTAGGAATGAAAATATCTATTTATCTTAGCTAGATGCAAAAGAAAAACTACTATCAACAGGCTATAAAACATATATACACATACAGTTCCAACTTAAACTTTAAGGGTTTGTGCCAAATTTTTATCCAAGATAACATAATCTTGAGCAGTTTAATAATAATTATTTTGTGAACTTAAAGCTTAAAGAATATAACTGAACAGATTTGTTTGGTTATTAAAATGTAACTGTAAAAGAGTGTTAGGTTAAATGGTTAACAGTAAAAAAAAATAATTGACCGAACCAAATAACAAGTTGTCATTGGGGTTTTTTTACCTACAACAGTGGATTGATGTAGGTTATATTTAAGAAATAAAGTAGTAAAGCCTCAAATACTTATCTACTAAATCTAGTATTTTTTACTTAAGAGCAAATTAGGAGGACGGGTTTAGTCTAAACATTGGTCAAAATTAAACTAGAAACAGTCTTAGAATATAATACAGCTGTACACAGATCAGATGGTGGCAACTCTTCATCTTCAGCCAACTCAAGGGAAACTCACGTTAAGATGTCCTCTAAAAATAAACAAAATTAATTAAAGATCATTAAAGTATTTTGATGTAATGGTTAGTAGTACACATAAGCATAATGAAAACCAAAAATAATAAAACAATAAAAAAATACATGCAATTACAAATTAAAACATTTATCTCTCAGCTGCCCTACCAGCTCACAGCAATTTCTTAGACTTATCAAAAAATATATACCAAATAAAAAAACAAAATTAAGTTCAACCATGCTTTTGAAACTTCTGCTCCCGGAGGATGCAAGCCATTAACCTAGATTCCACACGGTGCCTCAGCCAAAGGGCGAGCTCGGAATATAAAAAACTACAACAGTGTGAACCCCCCACAAAAACAACAAGAACAATTTTAATTTCTCCAAAAACTGCCAGACCAGAACTACTTGAGAACACAATCCATCCACGGTCCTTCCAAAACAATTTAGAATGTGTCCAGTGATCGGATCTCTAAGTCTCGTAGTCGTGAAACTGTAAAGTCCACAACCAAGAGCTATGACCACAATGAACAACCACGCTCTGCTACCATATTAACCACGCCCTTGCACCTGCACCAAGCGAACGAATTGGAAGCAAGTTCCCATGGGCAGAGGCGAGGGGCGACTCAGAGCCCTACCTAACAGCAAGACAAAGAACAACACAGCCATTTGAGATTAACAAGCTGCAAACATTGAATATTTCAAAACAAATCAACCATCAACAATGATACATGTGATACTAAATTAAGTTATTAATCTCAGCTGTTGTACCAGCTCTCAGTCATTTCTTTTACCAAAGGTTCAGTTTAAAAGAAATATTTAAATTGAAATTAATTTTGTTATTTTTGTTAATTATTTTTTATAATGCATTTGCAAGCTCAATTTAAATTAATTGTTCTGTCCCTGGCATCATATCGGTTATGTTGCTTGCAGCATTTTAGTCACTTAGCTAGGATGGGGCCTTAAAATATTAGTTGGTACCACTAGTATAGATAGTTTTAAGTTTAGATTGATTATAGTCTTAACACTTTTGTTTGGATTGAAACCATACACAAACATTTACTTTTAAAAGTAGGAATCAAAAGTTGCACTACTGCATTGGCAGATCCAGTAGACAAGTTATTGTCTACCAACGGCTAATTTACAGAAGGAATATCGAGTTGATTATCACGTATGATCGAATGGACTATACTGTAGTTATCAAGTCATATTACCTCGTGTTCTCCCTTAATCACAAAAAAAAAAATGCTGTGTAATAATTTTATGATCCGGGTTCAGTGCCTACCATACAAGAAAACGTTCTTTGAAATATCCACTGAAGCATATAACTTAATCCTGCTATATCCAGCATTATATTATCAACACCTTGCACAAGAAAGCCGAGATAATTTACCTTAATTACGTGCCAGGCTCATCATCAATCTCCACAATACTGATTGGTTCTCTAGCAGCTCCACTCATTTGCTTCATTCTAGATGCAGTGTAACCTGCGGCAAAAAGGTAATTCATTAGTAGTCTTATCTAAAATTTTATAACAGCCTACTATAATTGGGTATTGACGATTCCAAACATAGAAAATAAACCTCTATTGCCATTGACTTTGGATATTTAGAGGTATGAGATATCCCATCAATATGAGCCAGCTGTAGCCAGGTTTTTTCTCAAATTTAGTGATGGAAATGAAGGCTACTTTTTGGTAACGTTACAAGTCGTTCCGTGACAGGCCGGTAATAGGTGACTTTTGTTCGTTTTTGGATACGGGTGAAATGAATAGCCAACAGTGACAGTGACAACTGCACCCGCACCCGCGTCACTCCAACAAATCTAGTCACTTCATTTATGTGACTACACGGTCGTCGGTCACCTTTTCAAAACGCTAGACGGCAGGAAACGCAGGCGAACAGCTAAACATCGACAGTGATAAGAGCTCCTGCGTCACTCTAATACATATTGTCACTCCATTTAAGTGAGCAGTTACACAGTTTTTCGTTCCGTGTGGGCACATGATTTGGTCTGCCAGTGAATGTGAGTAAAGAAACATTGGTGACTTAGTTACAAAAAAGTTACAGAAATAATAGGATATTTCAGGGTGCCTATTACCCAAAAAATGGTAACGTTTCAGTAATATGGTGACTTATCCTATTTATTACGTTAAATAACAACTATCACTATAACTTGTTGAGTCTTTCAGAGAGTGTGCTGCTATTGAGTTTATATTTTCTCTATCAGTTTTTCATACTCTGATAGTTAAAAAGGCCATCGGCATAGAAACACACAAAAACAACAAAGGCTATAGTTTCCGTTTAAAAATATGCATCTCTTTGTGATGAAAACACTGGTGCTCAAAGAAAGAAACAACATTTTGCAGAATCAAAGGTACCTAACTTGATTAAACTAAATTCCTTTTTATTAATAAAACTGGCTAAGATTTTATGCTGAGTGTCTCCTTTACGATTAAGTTTATCCATGGTAAAAGATGTCGGCAATAAATAGATTAACTGCTATTGTGAAAATAGTACAGCTTACTTTCGTTTGTGTATCCGCCTAATAGTTTTTAATTTTCAGTCCGGAACAACAATAACACCATAAACTAACTAACACAAGTTGACTTCTCATCCCATTGTAAAATTTAAAGCTCAATTTTGGTGTGTAGTTAATGTTGTTGACACTGATTGCTAGTGTGGAAAAAATTTTGTTTCTATTATTTTAGGGTTAATTTCATGGTTTGTTCTTTACTGTTTGGTTATACAACCAGAGGACGAGTTATTGTTTATGATTAGATTGTTTTATTTTAGGTTTTAAATGACTGAAATACCAAGAAACACCCCTACAGTGCACCGGACTAAACAAACAAAAAATTGTCTTCAGCTGATCCATAAGGATGAGAAATCTCCTGTATGTTTTATCTATGTTAACACTTCTTATTATGTTGATAGATAATTTACCTACGACCGTTTTTTAAAGTAGCCATTTCAGTACAGTTCTTAGAATTGAAAAGTTTCACTTAACAGCATAGTTTCATTTCATAACAGCATAGTTTTTCTCATAACAACACGGGTAACGGACCAATGAGGTTCAAGGATTGAGAGTAATGAAGTAAAATTGTAATACTTCGAATCAGCTGATTAGTTGACAATTTTAATTGTTGATCCGATTTGTTCCTGTTGATACTCACGTATTCTTAACCTAAGTGGGTGGAAGTTAAATAAAGGTAGATTAAACTGATTTAAAAATGTCAGTTAGTGAAAGTAAAGTTGACGAGATGGAAATGAGAGCACAAACTGTTTGTGCTAATATTTTGCCACCAAAATTGAAACCAAAAGGTATGCAATTACATACCAGCAATTCATTAAATGGACGAAACAAAATAAGGTTAAATTGATACATGAAAATGCTCTTAGGGTTTTTTTTTGAAAACCTCTTTACCACTTTTTCACCCAACCCGTTGTGGACCACATATTTCATGCTGAGATCTTACTGTAAATAAACTGTTTTACTATATTATTCAGTTTTCCAAAAAAATATGCAACGTTTCCCTAATTGTAATTGATACAGTATTTATGGTTAGAATGCTGTCAGTAGAGCCTATTTCCTGAAAAAAGTAACGTATTATTTAACAAAGTTTTACAAACTCGTAATTACATGAAATCAGCTGATTATATTATACAATAAAGTCGTTGTATCACTTTCAGTGGCAATGACAATAAACGAAAACATAACCTCTCTTAGAAGTTATGAGTAGTAATTGTTAGTAATAAAGAACCAGATTGTTAGTAATTAAAAAACGGTCGTAGGTAAAGTAGTGTACGCAACTCGCGTTAATAGTCTTTACGACACTCGTAGAAGTTATTACTACTAATTTTCTACTCGTGTTGTAAAGACTAACTTAACGCAATCGTTGCGTAAACTACTATTACTTACACCACACCATAAGCCTATATTATAGACAATAGACATACAATACTGTTAAAAGAAAAGATTCAGATATATTTGAGGAATAATCCATTCAATCAAGATCAGCAGCATAGTATGTTTTGCAAATTGAACATCATGAAATAATTTAGAAACAGTGAATGGAAAAATCAAAACACCTTGTATCAACTTTATCAGAGGAAACTTATGTATTGTATTGTGTACAGTGTAGATGTCTACTATCTTGATGGCATTCTATTCTACCTAATATTACAGCATGATATGCATTTTGTCCAGATTATACATGTAGAGTTTCTCGATTAATCCAGCTAATCCAAACAATCCATCAAATAGGTCTAGTCCCACTCAATTCAGTTCAGCAGGGCACTACTGCATTCTGAAGATCTTCATAATATACAGAGTCAACATTTTGGATGATATTGAGAACTACTAAGACTTTAATAAATTTAGTATTGTGGATATGAAGGTGAAAATTGTATACATCTAGATAGTAATTCAATTCAAGAATTCAAAGTACATCAACTGAATCTACTAGGAGCTAACCTCTCCTCTCCATCCTCCAAAATTACTTTAGTTCCCTCTCCCCCTCCATAACAAATTGGGTTTAGGTCAACAAAAATCAGTAACATGATATAAAGCATTAGTATGTGTTTTGAAATTTGTTTTAGTTAAATAACTAAAATATTCATTGTAAATAAAATCTCAAATTACGATTTTACTTACGTTTCTTCATCTCCTCTAGTTGCCTTTGCTGTACTGGGTCAAGCGAACCAGTTTTTTGCTTCGACTGTGTATCCTGCTGCTGAGTTCGCTGCTTCTGCTGCTGCATTTGCTTAACCCGTTGCTGCATCGCCTGCATCTGATAATTAATTTTCTGCTGCGGAGTTTTCAATTGAGTTTGTTGTGCATTTCTATTACCAGGTTGAGTAACACGACTAACTTGTGGCTGTTGTCGGCTACTGACTACTTTGATAGCATTGTCTTTTCGGTTTTGCATCTGCTGCAATCGGTTTGAGATCACCATTGGTGGGTTAACTCGGCTGGTTGCTGGCGCTCTCAACGACCAAGGGTTTTGTGTCTGCTGCCCTGGATTTAATTGTGGTTGTTGTCTGCTGTATGTCCTTTGCATTCCCCTGTTTTCTGGTTTTCTCATGACGTTTCTTTGCTGTATTGGTTGTGGGACTGGTGGCATTGCTAGTTTAATCCTTTGATTTGGCCCTTGCTGCATCCTTTGCTGTGACAGTTGCTGCGTCCTTTGCTGTGACAATTGACGCATCCTTTGCTGAGATAATTGCTGCACCCTTTGCTGTGACAATTGCTGCGCCCTTTGCTGTGACGATTGCTGCGTCCTTTGTTGTGACAATGGCTGCATTCTTAGCTGGGTTCCTTGCTGCATCCTTTGCTGCGTCCCTTGCTGCATTGCTTGCTGCTGAAACTTCCTCTGACTCTGGATCCGAGCCAAATTAGCCTCTTGTTGCCTCCTCATTTGATCCATGTATGTTTCCTGACTTGTCTTGTTAGTTTTTCTTATCTGACCGTTCCCGATCATTGCTTGATTCACTGGCCGGTTGACAATATTCTGCTGATTCATTTGGCTGGGATTTACTCTCGGTTGGTTTGCTGTTCTCGACTGGAACTGGGTCACGTTTTGAAGCATTTGGGAAAGTTGATCTGTATTAGAGTTGAGCATTGTTCTCAAGTTCGGGTTTTGATTGGAAGGTCCGGCCACAGGTTGTTGTACCTAAAACATATCAGAATCTCTGATTAGATTTTTAGTAGAGTTTGTATTCCTACATGAAATGTGTCATAGTATGAACTTGAAAATCTGTTTAGACCTACTGACTCTCAGCAAGAGCAAAATAATATAAATAAAAATACTTTTTAAAAAATTTCACGATTGTCTACTTTTTAGTGCGTTTAAAAACGTGGCAAATAAAAAAAATATTTTTATTTATAAATCTTACTAATATTATAAATGTGAAAGTTTGAGTGTTTGTTTGTTTGTTTGAAGTTCAATCACACATTAACTACTGGGCGGATTGGGCTGAAATTTGGCATGATGATAGCTCACATTCCCGATTAACATATAGGCATATTCTTATCTCAAAAATATTTTTATTTTAAGGATTTGCCATAACTCTGAAATAATACCATTTCAGAGTTCTGCTAGTTTTTGCCTAACTCTGTTCTGTAGAGTTTAAAGTAGCCTACACCTTATTGTCTACAAATTGGCTAAATAACTTAGGTACGGTACATTATAAAAGCTGACAGCCTTTTTACATTGACTTAAATTGCAAGCTTACCTTTTCCCGTCCGTGGGCAGTTTGATAGTTAAAAATTAACCCTTTAAAATAGAATAGGACTGTTATGTAAATTGTGAGTATTTCCATTAGTTAATTATCTTTTAGCCAACTCTTTTAAAATCATAGGAAATTATGGCTGTTATTAGTTTTTAAACAAGTTATTTGTTTATAAATAACTCCAGTACTTCTTTGCATGTACACTAGTTATTCTTAGTAGTCAAACTTCCAGCTGGTCTTCTTGGCAAGTTTAGTGTTGAGTGAAGCGTGGCGTGTAGGCCACATTCCAGTGCGCTTAATGCTGTCTTTTTGTATGTATTTATTAATGATCTTTTAGGTTATGATTCCGTGAGGGTTGGATAGAACATGAAATCTAAGAAGAGTATATTGTCGAAGAGTAGATCGAAAAACATTATTTTGGTCTTGAACATTCATAACATGTGTTTAGAACTAATATCTAAACCATAAAAATCACCTGTTGTTGTTGAGTCTGTTGTCGTGGAAAGCCGTTCACTTGGTATAACAGAGTTTTCAGCATGTTGTTTATCTCACTTTCAGAGGAGTTGGGGAACTGTGGAAGAGAGAAACACATTAGTTTTGCTAAAGCTTTTTCCTAATTTTCTTGCTTATACCTTGTGCTGAGACAAAGAGAACACAATAATATATTAAACTGAAAGATACTTGCAAGATGTATAAAAATGTTGTAAAAAAGGGCATTAAAACTATTGGCTAATCAGAGGTAAAAATAAATGATTAAGTGACAATTTTAATAAATCAATCACTAAACTTACTAACCATAATATTCCAGTATATTTCATCTTTGATTTATTTGATTGGTATGATTTGTTTGAATCCTGAATCTTTAAAATCCCAAAATTATCCTTTCCCCCCATTCCCGTTCTATGACTTGTGTTAAATAGTATGTTTAGGGCCTTCCTCTGGAAAATGTTTAAAAAATTATACCTGTAAACTTGTGTTTTTAGGCTATTTAGAGACATAACAATGGATTTTTTCATTGTAAAAATCACGTTTCCAGGTCAAGGGGGGTTAAAACCTCTAACCCCCTGGATACGCGCCACTTGTGTTGTCAGGTTAATTTTTTTTTTTTTTGATTTTGCTCCTGTAAATTTCTGCACATAATTTTCTTGATCATTACATTCAATAAATATAAATAGTTATGAAGAAACCTAGCTTGCTGGTCTTAGTTAATTAACAAAGCTTTATAATGAATCATACAGCTGTCTTTCTTCATCTCAGCGAATTTCCCATATAGGGAATAAGCTATTACCGTAGGCCTCATGGTAAGACCTGAACCCCGGAACGGTTTACTGTTTCGTTTTGAGGTCTCCAGAGGCCAAAAACACCATCCGTTCAGATTCAAATACATATATATATTTATATATATATTTTATTGCATGTTTAGGGCTACTAATTTAGTAAAAATTAAAAAGTAATACGTAATAATAGTAATAAGTAATAAAAAACTAATAGATTCTTTGTTAACTATGTTGTTAATTTTTAATATATAGATATAAAATATATCCATGTATAAATCCCAAAGTACCCATGAACTTTTGAGAAACTACAAGTCACACCCCCAAAAACCATATATAACTACCGTACCTAAAATGTTTGTCATGACGAGAAACCTTGCGCAAAACTATCCATTATTTCATAAATTCCCCTTTAAGGTCGTAATTCCTTTCTAAAGGGAACTTTCCATATACCTAATGTTAAAAATACCTCAGCTGTACAGTACTTATTTGTATGTCTTTCTTTTAATTTATTACCTTATTAAAATCAGGTCTGATTATTTGTTTGTATTACTGTATTCTGCTTTGTTTATTTCAGCTTAACTTAACCAATCAATAGTTTTATTGATACTTATGAAGTCAAACGGGGTGAAGCCCGTGGGTAACAGCTAGTATATATATTTGTGTCCGTTAGCACGATAACTCCGCAACAAAAATGATGCGATTTTGATGAAATTTAGTATAAACGTATAATCTTACATTTATTCTAACGAGTTAGCGAGCCAGTGGGATCTGACCATGGGAGTCTATGGGGGGGGGGGGGGGGGGTTTATGGGGTAAAAATGGGGTTTTCCCATTTTTGACAAAAAAAAACTGCACTAACAAAAAAATTGCAGTTTCTTTCTAAGCCATTTTGTAGAGCTTAAAAAAAGAAATCTTAAGTAGGCCTACCAGGGTAGGGTAGGGGGGTAGGGTAATGCCTACCAGTTACAGAGAAAATAAAAAAATGTTAATTTAAAATTTCCATGTTATTCTTTTGGAGAAAATGAAAACTGTTGTAGTTTACTTGATTATGGATATATGTTGATAACATTTTGCAAATATATTTATTTCATCCTATACTATCGACGTATGGTCAAAAAACACTTTTTACCTTCCCCGTAGCAGCAAACGTAAGCACTCGTTAAATCTAATGTAACTTAAATTGGGAATAAATATGTCTTATTTATGGAAATATTTTAGTAAAAATATAATCAGACAAGTTGAAATTCGCTTAGTCTGCAGGTTTGCTGCGGCGGGGGTATTTTTTACCTTTGTCTTGCCTCATTATGTGTGTTTTAGATAATGACTGGTGATTGAATATATTGTAAAAAATCCTTCAACCATTTGAGCTGCAGGATTATTTATTGAGTTGATTATACCTATGTTTATTATGCCCACTAGCTTCTAGGGGACATAAACGGTAAGGGTAGGTAGAGTAACAAAATGCCCATTATGTGGTGAAACTCACTAAGAACCTACCTAAGCTGTCCGCCTTTTAGCCAGGCCTCTTCCAGCACTGCCACAGTCAGTTGAACTAACAAGTTGTACATAATACCTGACCATGACAATATTCAATATCTCAGAGCGGTAACTTGGCCAGAAAGAAAATACTTTAGACTTGGCCACTTAGATTTGTCTACAGTACTGAAACTAGTAGCTCCCCCTTTAGTTTTAAGCTACTAAGTTGTGTTTTGGGTTATAAGTGAAGGTTTTGTTAATCATAACATCTAATAGAGCTTTTGGGGCTGTAAGGGACTAACTAACGTCTGAAGATTTCACTGCAGGTAAAATCAGAATCAGTTAAGACCAGTTATGGAATAAATTCTGTCTATTAACTGATCCACACCCTTCTTTAGTTGAGATCTCAGGGTGTCTACTACATTCTGGATAAAAAATGCATGGACAATTCCCGTACATTTAAGGACACTTTGCCGTAACCTTTGTCGGTGTCATTAGGCCTACCGAATAATTTTCCTGATTTGTCAAACTGTATTAATCTTGTTATTAACTGTAGTTGTACCAGAGAAAAAAGTAAATAATAATAGATAAGAGTAAAAAATTTCAAAATAGAAATTTATTGAAAGTAAACAAGCATAGGCTTGACTATACTTTAGGTAAAGCTTTTATAGTGTAACAGAGAAACACAATCATTGTCTCCTGCGATAGCGACAAATATCTCCATCGGTCACGTAAACTTCATAACATAGCTTATCCGATCCAGGCGGATTAATTTGGCATGATTCGCCCTGGCACAACGTTAGGCTCTCGACTACTTTTTGAAAAAAAAAATCTTTAATACACATTATTACTCAGTTCTTAGTACAAAATCAAGGTATGGTAAGCGGCTACCAATGAGCAATAAGCACAGAGTAAGATTATTGTATTTTCATTTGCAAAGTTAATATCGACACATAGCAATCATTAGTTGTTTATCTAGGCTCAATTACATTTTCTTAATATATTTTACAACTCTTCCAAGAATCAAAATACACAGGCCTAGACCTAATTATTTAGGAGGGCCTATACCTATAAACTGAGTAACAAACAATGAGGTTATAATAGCAGCAAAGTCACTATCATCATTCTAGTTCATAAGATTTAGATTGCTTAAAGCATACATCCTTTTACAACTCAATAAATAAATACGGGAAACAAAATACATTGAAACCTGAACAGCCAACAATATAAGACAAAGATACAGAAAATGCAATGACATAATTTCAAACCAAGCAGGCCTAAATAGTGATAAAACATTAATGCAAACAACAATGCTTGTGGTTTTGTCAATTGAAAGATAAAATATCCATAAAAAGGGGTTAACTTACAAAATAAGACTGTAGATTATTTACACATTTAATATGAAACCATAAACAGTTTTATGGCACTAGGCAATGGCCACGGCAAATTAAATTTTCTAGCCGAAAGTACAAGTAAGAAGTGAAATTTAACAGCCATTATAAAGCTATTATTTTTACGATAAAATAGGTTTGGGATCTCATAATAATTCCTCATAATATTATCTCATAATAAGCCCTAGTAATAAAAAAATAAGTTGTAAAGGAATAAAAGTGATACAACTTTTATGAGCTAGCTAGAATTGAGTCAACAGTTCTTGGAAGTACTTGACTTGACACTTGATTGTCGTGATAAAATATTAATGGGTTTGAGATTGCTAATGGGATTTTTATTGCATAATTAATCTAGTAATAAATTATGAAAATGTAAACAAACATCTGATAAACCTTTTATGTGCTCCTAACCAACTAGCGATCAATAAAATTATGGCCCATTAAAAATTTAAGGACATAGTCTGGCATTTAAGGACAATTCCCGTACATTTCATGGCCAGTAAAAAATTAAGTACAATTCCCGGTTTTCCCGGATTTCCCGGTTGGTAGACACCCTGGATCTACATAAAGATATTTGATAATTGATTTCCAAAATATTTAAAGTTCTTAACGCAGTAAATTGTTTATGTTTGTTTTGTTTCTAGAATATACTAATTATTTTGCTATACTACTAATGCATATTCATGGTATGTGGCAATTCCTTTATTTCATCACGTGCATTTTCAATGTCCCCCTCCCCAAAAAAACAAATGTACTAGTATGTTGCTTATAGCAGCATCTCTGTTGTTTAAAATAATGTTGTGTATACAAGTAAGTGTAAATTCCTGGATAGGCTTCCACAGTAACTTATTCTAGAATCGTGGTCTTCTGGTAAAGACCGTGTCAAAATCGACGAATCACTACTTTCACTCTCCCAACGTTTCGGGCTCAATGTAGAGCGACTTGACTCAGATGACTTGCACAGATGACAAATAAACTTGATGACAGATCAACAAATCAACAGATAACTTGATTTGTCATATGTGCGGTGTCAAGTCCTCCTTTAGGATGGCACCTACATCGAGGCGGAAACGTTGGATAGTGAGAGTAGTGATTTTGTGTTTTGTTGATTTTGACACGGTCGTTACCTGAAGACCACGGTTCTAGAATAAGTGTAAATTCGTTGTTTTGGACATTCTTGGATGGAAATTCAATACAGCAATAAATAAACTTTCTAAGAACAAAAGGCAAAAAACTAGTGAAACTGCTAGTTTTAGGATTGCTGTGACTTATAAATATTACCTCTAAATTCGTTTCAACTTAAAAGGTGGGTTCTTCCACACTATTGGAGACAAGGAAGAGTTGAAAGGATCAGAGGAGGAAGAGGAATCTGTTTCTTCAATTGTCTGTTGACAAATACTTAACAGTTAAAAACATACCCATAATGA